CAGAAAGCCCAAATTATTTTTTAGTTTGTGAATAAGTCTTACGGACATGTCGGTCAGTTCATTCCCTCATTTTTATTTCACCAACGTGGACATGCCTGATAAAAGGAAAAGGTAGACAATTACAAACCTGATTCGTATGCGCTACAGTATGCGTTTTTCCTGAACAACACGTCCAAATTAATTTCGAAACCACTAAAGGGAAATTAAGCTAAAAATTTGGCAATTCATGGCCTTGATACAGTCATTTTCGGTTTTGAACTTCCACTACTGGGAAACTCCGATAGTAGACGATGGCGGCGGCCGCTCGGCAAATCGCTCTCTGTCCCACGCGGTGCAAAACCCAAAAAGGCGCCGATGTCGTCAACGTGTTAAAATTGTTAGTAGCTGCTGCTAACCTTTCAAAAGGTAACGACTCTGCCACCCTGCTACCCCCACTGTTAGGGGGTCGCTCTTCCAGCCAACCTACCAGCACGATCTTGTGCCAAAATATAGAACTTCACATGATTTTAAGCGAGGAATACGGTCTCCAAGGAACCATGTATGTTCCTCGGACCCAAAGACGCGATCCCGCGACCTAGCCAGTAGGCTATTATGCTGTCTGGATGATCCTATTTAAAGCTTCTCAATTCTGGGCTGGCACTGTTTCATAACAACTCCCTTCCTTATTCAACTGATAATGGCTATTCGTCAAAACGGTTGCCTGGACCGCATTACCTAGCGAAAGCCTATTTCTCCGAGTATGCTCGGAATACACTGCCGCGAATCCATGGTCTACCGAACCTGCGAAATCAGAATTCATGGCTCGACAAACGCGAGGTTCTTTGGACGCCGCGTGAGGCTTTCCTATAATTTTCTTGTAGGAAGTATCGGGAAATGTATGGGGGACGAAATTGTCCTATCCCATGTCAATCAATTCCTTATTGCGCTCTTTCAAGGCTTGCCAGAAATCGGGAAGTGGTGAACCAACTGAACCTTAGTGGGGGTCCTGGGGAATATCAATCATAATAGAGTTTTCCCTAAATTGTTGAAGATTGCCAGATGTCAAGATCGTAGAAGTTGTAGGCCTATGGAAGAAAAGGAAATCTAGATTCTTGAATAGACACCTTACACAAGACTATTACGATCTGTTTTAAGTCTCCAACGGAAACGGCCGGTACGGATCCCTGGCCAAGAAGTAGACCAGTCATTCACAGTTGCCTGTCACAGCCACTCATTCACACTCAAACACTGTCCGTAAGTGCATGCTATTTTCGGAATCGCATTTATTTCAGTTTGATGATTGCTCGCGGCAATTTTCCGGCAGTTTTTTTATGCGCGGAGAGTTGCAGAGGGAGAGGTTGGTCGATGAGTTGATATTCCGCTCATTGATTCCTGTGATATCCGTTGTATGTTTCTAGATGCCTTAATGCGATTGCTGGACTCAACAACCCCACCCTCAAGCACATATTCTTCAAAGGATTTTTTAGAACTTGCTTTCCCCAAGATGGTAAACTATTCAGGCGACAGCAAGTGAAACAGACCTCCAACTGATAAATCCATGCCTAGAGAAACCTTGATAAGCGTAACTGCGCGCAATGCATCTGTGCGAACTGAGACAACAGCCTATTCAAATTGGATTTGCAAAGGAATTTTTGTTGTCTAGCAGTTCCAGTCGTTGCAGCAGCCACTCCTTTCTAAATGATTCGAGGTGAAATCTTGCTCCGAAATCCATTTGGAGATAAGAACGCCTGTTTTTCACTGTGCTCCTTCAAGAACGAGACGGCTCAGGTTCAGTCGGACAAACTGGTGAGGGTAGCAGCGATCGATAATAAAAGCTGCGGTTGTCAACTTGAGATGAATTGAAAAAGCATAGGAAACGCGAAAAGCTTCTAACCAAGAATCTCTGTCTTCACTTGAGATGAGGCAAGGGAGCATGACTGGGGACGAGTTTTTGACCTTGCTGCATGGCTCCAGACCTCCGTAGGCCGCTACTATTCGTAGTCGCATGTTGCGTTCACGGGATGTTGCGGCTAAGCAAATCTCCGTCCATTGCTCAGACATGCTCACTTTCTAAGACCTGGCGCCTTTACAGCGGGTGTTTAACTTTGCGTCACGGCGACTTTTTGTGTTACTCGTGAGCGAATGCCAGCGTATTTCACAGAAAAGATAGCCCCACATAATGCTTTCGAGGCAGTTCCGTCGTATGATAGGCGATGATTTCTGTGATTTGTGCTACCAGTTCCCTTTGGAAGCAATCAATAATTACCAGTAACGGTATTGCGCTCGTATAAGGTGTTGTTCCCTCTAAAACTCGGTCTATAGGGTCTTCAGCACATTACCTTGAACGAGGGGGTCGATCGGCGTCATGCTTGACGGACGACTCCGCTGCCAATGGCGCTGTTTTCTCAACGCAGTAACTTGATGAAGGTATTTGATAAGTGTTGCCACGCAGCTCTACTCACCATGTTGAATTCGATCCAAGCCGGTTATTGGATTTCCTCGGTTGGTTAGCAATGCCAACGAAGACTGGGTCAAGACCCAACACCATTTCCATCTCTCTTCCCGGATGCAGAAACACTTCGAAATGATTTAGTCGCAATTTTATTCATTCAGGTCCTCCAGGTTTTTTTTTTTCATTAAGCCTCTCTCGTAGAGGAACGCATGTATCAGCGAGCGCTACGAAAATGTTTGGGTTATGATGTTATTTCAGAATTCCACACCTGTGCGCAAACAACAGTCGGACTGTGAAAGTGCTGCCATCGGCTCAGTCCAAGTCGCCACTGCCGAGTAAAACTCAAGCAACACCCGCTCGTTCGGCTCAAAACGTGGGACCGAAGACAGTCGCGAACGCTTTGAAGAAAATCGAAAGCGACGAATGGTTTGGCATTTTCTTTATTTTTCTCATAGCCTTTTTGCGAAGTTTATGACGGTGGGACAAAACCTATACAAGAACTATTTAAAGACTTTCAAATTGAAGGGCGCAAGCAGTGAAAGTCCAGAGAAGCGAGCTCACTAAAAAATGTAAGTGAGAAAGAGTGACGAGTGCCGCGTTAGACTGAGAAATTGGATATTGCCTATGTCTTTCATGCTCGCAGGAGACTTATCCATGAACCATGGAGGAGTGCCGCTGGTGGTGTTGCACTGGGAAGCACGGAGATCTCAATTGGAAATTGAAAATCTTACTTTCCACACTCCATTGAATCAAATATTCCTTCAGGAGTAGCAAGGTGGAAGGCATCAACATGATCAGCGAACTTTCGGCGACCAATCCAAAGGATGTAGCGGATCACATGCATGAGGTGAAGTCTGCACCCTCAGCCGAAAAAGGCATCAGCCGACAGCTCCAGCAGACTATGCAAGAAAAAGTCATCACGCTTTCTTGTTTACAGGTGGTGCTCGCAATTTTGAACGAGTGTAAGAATCTTCGGTCGAGCGTTTCACGAGTGGCCCTCGCCTGCACTGGCACACTGACGCAAAACATGAAAGGAAAAATGGACATGGAGCTTGACAAGGTCAGTGCAACTAAACTTTTACAAACTAGCCTGTCCAACGCACTCTCTTATTTCACCCACCTGCGAGATCTTGACCAACACATACAGCTTCAAGCAGTAGTAATCCTGATTTCACACCTTCGATAGCCATTTTTATCGTTCTCTATCACTTACATACTCTTTTGTGATAATTTATCGGTTCTCTGCTCGTCTTATTGTACTTCTGTTTGTTGTGGTTGTACCAGCATTTTAAATATACATTCTCTTGGCTCAGGATTAACCCTAAAAGGCAACTTGATGAAGTCAATGGTTCAAGCTGCTTCACTTCACACACTCCAACCCCGCCTGCAACTGAGAGAATGGGGGAGAGAAATAGTACATACATATCACATTTGTTTCTTCCACATTCATTCACAACCCATGAAACTGCGAAGTCTAGGAATTTTCTTCCACCTCGAATGTTTTGCAGAAATTTCCCTCCTACGCCAAGCGACCCCTTCAACCGTACCCCTTTGCTCCAAATACGACTCTTTCCTCCCTACCACCATATCGCTTTCCGAAGCTCCAAATATCATAATATCCATCTCCCTTTGCGTAAGTGAGAGACACGTCATCCTCCTAGTCGGAAAATTATTAACATACAGTTGACCCCGCCTGACCACAGAAGTTTTCTTTCAAGCTCATAAATAAACATGCCGATCCCAACAGAATCAGCCGTATTTTGGTGATTATCCAGCAAGGGGATTACCCACGGACATGACCTGGGGAACGATTATTAAATAAAATCTTTCAAATCAGCAAAAGCCTGTGGATTTATTGCTGTTCACTGTTCCTTGATCGCTAGTATTCTTCTATGCTATCGTTGACTATGTACCTTGTTTTGCTTGCTGTCGCTCATTCTCCCACCAGCGAAAATTCACCCGTTCTCATTGCTTAGATATTATTACTATGAGCTGATGTCCGGAAGATTCTGTCAATATACTTTCATAACCGTTGCGTTTAGATTGTGACCTTGACTAAAGTCAATCGTCGCTCGCAGGATTTCGCATTCTAAAATTGGTCCTTGCCTTCTTTTGCAGTGGAAATCTTTCCAAGTCGACCGAACTCGACTGAAACCCTATAAGACACTCCTCACTCATCTCTCCTAGTCACTTTTCAGGTTCGCTAAGGCTGCCACTATTTCCACATCCTTCTTCAGAGAAGTCTCTCGTATAAAGAAAGCTCAACCTAAAAACGACCATTCACACATTTCTAATTTCTGGAAAAATATTCGAATTGAACGAAAGAGGTCTTGTTTGTTTCAGCTATGTATGATCCTGATCAACAAAGCCGGCGATGTGTCCAATGCTTTCATTCGCGAGGATGCCAGCGAAGCTCTGACCAAAGTGGTGAACCACGCCTCAGCCGGCAAGGCTCTTCAGGCGATCATCACCGCCGGCTCTAAGTCAGACTTCCCCCTTTATGATCTCAACTGTACCACAGAGAAAACCACACACTGACTGCTATGTTTAGATCGAAGAACAATACTATTCGTGCGTCGTGTGCCGCTTTTGTGTGCTCGTTGGTGTCTCGTTTGGGAGTTTCGACGGTACTGTCGTCCCCGGATCAGCTTTCCAAACTCGTCACGCAACTGCTCGCCTTCAGCCGCGATCCAAACCCTCATGTTCGGATGCATGGCAAGCAGACCCTCGTGAATCTCAGCCAGGTCGGTGCATTGGCTTCTCAAAAAGCTTCACTCCTCAGTGACTAGGCAATTGTTCATCCACTCAAACACGACCAGTCATTAGTGGAGTAAATTTTGTCCGAATTGTCGAACTCCGATGTCGAAGAGTTTTTTAATGGGAACAAATGTCCTCTCTTTCTGAGCAAAACTGCATAGTACGTATTTAGGCAAGGGTATAGTTTCCTCAAATTTTCGTCTTCTCAGGCAATCTGGTTATCTCACCCACAAAAAAGCAATTCAACAAAGAAATTTTCAGGATTTGAACTTTGATCGACAAATGAAAAAAGCCGTCAGCGACCCCGAATATCGTGCGGTTCGGGCGATGCTGGATGAGATCGATAAGAAGGTACGTAATTCTAATCTTCACCCCGAAACAAGCAGTCGCACCGAGCTCCTCTCAGAGTTGACTCCTACAAATATCAGAATCTCCGAAAAGCGATGTCGTTGTTCTGCAGATGGAAATTTCTCCTCTGAATTTCCATGTTTCTACATAATATCACGAATTATTAAAATAAGAATTGTCTGTTGTATAAAACCTCTCACCTCTTTTCTATACCTATTATAAACTTGTTAAAAATGCAGAATGGGTGGCGTAGTCGACGAAAATTAACCAAACCGGCAAGTAGCTCTAACTGCTGTTCTCTCTAGGAGAATCCATCAGAGATATACCCTGTAGTCAGTTATTACCTCTTGTGCACATCCTGTATCAGGTTATTCACAAAGCCCTACCAGTTACCCTTTGAACTCGGTTTTTCTGGTCGACCTCCACGTCACAGCGGTTCTGGAAGTCATGACTCCACTAAAGAACCGCGATTGGATTGTTCAGAAAGCCGTGTTGCTCTTTTTTTCAAGTTTGGATTTTCCAGCAAAACTAATAACCACTACCTCGTGAAATTGGAACAAAATGATTTTACCGCTGAAACGTAAAAAAAACTAACGGAATATTTGGAAGATCTCGTGAGTAACGAAAAGCATGTCTACTTTATCGGTTTACTTCATCATTTTTTAGGGAAAAAATTCTTCGATAAAGCGAGGGATAACGATGAGATTGGCTTGGCTTATAGCGAAAGTGGGGATACTGAGCAGTGCCATAGTGGAAAAAACAAAGAAATCCGTCGAGAACGCGCTAAATGGGACCTCTTTTTTGCCTGTCGATCTCCGATAATGGGCGAATGAACCGATAGCCACTATCATTCCAGCGGCGATTGCTCTGTTTGATGATGCGTTTCATGGAAAAGTCACAGTGGATCTCATCCAAATGATAAGAACAATGATGTCGTAGCAATCCACTAATGGGCGGAGCACAGGCGGCGGAGATGAAGCTCAGTGAGGATTGGCAGCCACTGGGCACTGAACTAGCGCGCCTTTGACCACAAAAGATCACATCTCGCTTCCTTAGATCCCTGACTACTGCTCCCACTGATGCATGTACTTCCATGCTTGCACACAAACTTTATAGTAATCTGTCGCTTCAAGAGTAATTTGGTCATCCTCATGGATCGAACATGTTATGACACAGTCCTAAAATTACATAGACCAATTCATCATGAAAGTAAAACTTGAAGGCGTTAGCAAATAAAGTGGGAAGAAAGCTCAAGAAAATATCACCCGATATAGAACAACGAGATTTTGGAGAAAAAGTTCCAATTCCTAGAATCGCTGTGACATGGTGATCAGCAGAAAAAAAAGATTCGAAAAGAAACACAGCAGGCTTTTGGGAACCAAATATCAGAATGCTCACAAAAGCTTATGGCTAACTGCAGAGTCTGTTATTTATCAACTTCTCCTGAAGGGGAACAGTTCGAGTCGGTTGCTGGGTTGACCCATTTCCGTTGATCGGACTTCTCACTTTGCAAGCTTAAAAGTCAAAAAAATTCATAATGATTAGGAAAGAAGCAGGTTCTGTAGAGCAGACGATTCTCTTCCGAACTATACACAGAAGTATAGAATTCCAGCAGAATAAGATTCGTGGAGAAAAACTACATCACTTATTTGATAATCTAATAAAAAATTTGACTTGTTTTAATTGTTTGTTGTGAAACTAATAAAAATTTTTAGCAGAAGATTAGAAGCAGTGGGGCACTCCGAAGGATAGCCCCCGGAAAAATGTCAAATAAAGTGGAGCCCCGATTCCTCATGCAGCCTTCTGAGGGCGGGATATTTCGCTAAGTGTCAAGGTCATTCGTGGCTCTGTAGTACGCCAAGCATTCGAATTCCACACAGGATTGTTCACACATTAGATACATTTCGGACTATGCAATAATTGTAGTAGACGGTATGTACCCAGACTAGCGGTTGCATTTTCTAGTATGCGAGTCTACTCCAAGTTAGCAACCAGATCTACTCTTGCAGACAGTACAAGCGCTCTGCTGAATTCACCTCACTTTTCCATTTTCCAATTTTCCCTTATTGTTAAACCCACATGAAGCGTTTGAGCATTTGTGTTGGTTCAGAGAAACGTTTCAAGAAATAGCAACAGAACACTTTGTTTGGTTAACGTCTCAAAGCCGCCGAGTAATCCAGACATTTAGGGCTTGGATTCGTTGGACAGCACATGCACATCGCTGGGTAGCTCCCTTTCCAGAAGTGGGAGTATCAGAAAAGCTGTGCAGAGAAAACTTCCCGACAACGTTCAGTTGGACCTCGACGAAGTACGAGCAGATCTCACCGCTGCAGGGTGAGTGCTACCATCATAGTGGAGCTTTTAGGCCTCTCGAACAATCACATAAGGTTCCCCCAGAAGGGGGAACAAGCTGTGACTCCGTCCTCTCCATATACAATCGTGAAAAGATCGCGGAAGGCTTACAAAAGCTTTTTTCCAGATGGGAACGTCGACTGGGCGGCTTGAAACGTTTCGAGGAGATGTGCACAAACGCAACCAAAGCCGTCGCCTCCGACACGAAGGTACAGTCTTGAGTCCTCACCTCAAAAAAGGGAAACCTAGAGCTATAGTAAATGAGTTGTAGTTTTTCAGCTTATTGAAGCATTCATTGGCCGCCTCAACGACATCAACAGCAAGGTGTCTCTGGAAGGACTCGCACACGTACATGGTCACTCTGACAGTACTCAGCAAGTGCGTCTAACTTTTGAATGAGGGAATGACTGATTCTGTCATGAAGCCATCACTGCGAGGCTTTTTTTCAGGCTCTACTCGACGGAAGCGCACTTGAAGGCCGTGCTGAATCAGTTGGTTTTGGCGTTGATGTCCCATCTGTCAAGCAAGAGCGACGAGCACCGCAAAGCAGCACAAAAATGCCTTAGCGAAACTATAAAACGAGTCGGTTGGTGTCTTCCTCTTTGCATTCGCGAGAGAGTCTCCCTTTTCTAGTGAGGAGTATCAGAACTCCTCTTGAAATTCCTCTCGTATGAAAAGAAACTAATGGCAAGTGCAGAGAAATACTACAAAATCGCTAAAAGCAACACGCCGAGGTCAAATTTGTGGAGTCACAGCGGTCGATAATGCAAATGTGAATGCCGAGTTGACTAAAAATGAAAAAAAGAAGTAAAAACCGTCGGTGAAGCCCTATACAAGGATTCGGTGCTATACAAGTAGGGTGGGCACGCCGCATTTTTTGAACAGAAATGTGTCTCACTGGGAATGCTGCTCGCTACTATACTGTCACTAGAATTGGGGAGTTCGTTAGCCAGGAGGAGTGTAGCCAATCTAGGGGGGGGGGTGGGGGAAGTGAGGGCAGTTACTTGTCATGCGTGAAAAGCTGGGTGTGCCCACCCCACTTGTATAGCACCAAGGATTCCCTTCGAAATAAGGAAGGAGCGGGACCAGACGAGTTTCACGAACTTGCCTGCTCCTTTGCTAAACCAAACCGAGCATACTTGAACTAACCACCAAGGTGAAGATCGTGTCGAGGACGTGATCCCATCAGTACGACCCCCCCCCTCGGATCGGGGTCTTGGAACGACTTCTTTGACTTTAATTTGATGTGAGCGAATTCCATCAATGTACAGCAATGCATTCAGTTGCAGCGCGGTTTATCCGTGGCTCAGATTTGCCGGCACCCCGCTAATCGAAACGAAACCGTCGAAATCTACATCTTCGATGATAAGGTTGCATCCCCCACCCCCATTTCATAATCCTTGGAGCGGTATGTGGTAGGGATAGATAGAGCTGGATTTGCTACTACCTGGCAATATTGAAACTGGTCTAAAATCTTCACATTCAAAAGGTTAGGGTCTCTTAAAGCGAGAGATTACGATGGAACTGGGTTAAGCTCATAGTGGAAGCGGGGATGCTGAATAAACCACCAATGGCGGAAAAAGCAAAGAATTTCCTCAAGAACGCGCAGAATGGGGCCCCTTTTTTTTGCCCGTTGATCTCCGATAATGGACGAGCAGCAACCGATCCAAAGGTCGTTTGCACATGTCAAACCGATAGCAACGAGCATGCCAACATAAACCATGCTTTGACGAATAACGTATTCCATGCGGAAGCTATGGGATACCCGTTTAAAGTGGAATACCTTATCAAAATGATAATCGAACAGCGGCTGCTGGGGGGCGGAGCACAGGCCTTGGCGGAGCTCAGAAACCATTGGCAGCCCCAGGGCGCTGCAACTAGCGCACCTTTAGCCACGAAAAAGCTAGGTTTCGGTTCCTTTAGCCCCTGACTACCACTCACACTGGAGCAGGTTCTTCCATGCAGCACACATACTTTATCGTAATCTCTCGCTTTAAATTTTGTCGAAGGAGCGTCGAGGATGCTGAAATTTTCATGCGAGTTTTCCCCATTTAAAAGCAATATCTCTCTCATTTTGTAAGGTCTTGGGAAAAGGAAGGCGGCTGGAAAGCGGAAGGTTTGCACTTTCTAGCAGTCTGTTTAGCTATCTCCTACACTTTCTAGTTGAGATATTTGCGTCAAAGATCTATCAAGGATTGATCTCGGTCACCTAGAAAGCCACTCCCTTCTTCAGCATTGCAGGTTAATTTTCGCAACGTAAGCGACAAGAAAAGGGGCAATCGTCATCGTCCGATCTCGTCTCAGTATAGGCCATGCATCCGACTTCCACTCAAGTTGTAGAATATATTGCAAGGTGTTATACATATGACGATGACTTGTTGACAGAGCACATTCCAAACCCCTGTGGCTGATGAACAGCTTCATTTCCAGGGTCTTTCCAGGACCATTGCCATCCCCAACAACAGTATCATTCTCAACGGGGTATTGGGGATGAGAGAGAGGGCGGTAGACAGAGGGAAAGCCTTCTCAGCGCGCGTACACACGTGACCGTGTTCCTCCAACCTATCTGCACCACGATGCCAGTGATGTTACTGACCCCTAAGAGTACGACCCCCCATAACGCACTTGACAAGTACGACCCCCCCGTCGAGGATTTCATCAACCGATATCCACCCTGTTAGCCGCTTAGCCGCTACGACGTAATCCACGTTGCGCGTCATTGTATGCGGATGACGTAACTCGTTCATACGTTAAGAGGCCGCCATAAGTTCACTTTGTAGGACCCTAGAGCCATTTTAGCGCTCTTTCGAGCCGCAGCGGCACATCGTGATACTCGTGGGCTGGTCTAACCCACCACTGAACATATTCTCCGATCGAACTCCTGCTGGGGATGCTGCTTTAATACCTTTCAAATAAGTTCACATTTACGTCGCGGAGAAAAATGCTGTTAGGCAATTAGATCCCATTTTCTTTCCCATAAGCCAAGGCGTGTTGTGGAAATAGCTGCATTTGCAGTGAGTGAAATGATTCTTTTCCTGCCGTGATCAACGGCATCACCAATAAGGCTAGCGGCTGAATTGCCAGGGGTATCAGGGGTCAAAATGCTTGAGAGCAATTCCACCATTTATGGTAAATCAAAATGAAGTTTTAGGGGCAAATGTAAGTATAATAGCAAGTGTTTATTATTCAACGACATAATTTAGTAGGGAGATCTCCCGATTTCTAGCGTGAAAGAAAGTTCATCAATTAGAGCAGCGGAGCATCGAAACGTGTTCGGAGTATCAATACGAGTCGATTCTCCTGAATCCTTTCTCATACCCTATCCAAACCACATTAGGTGTCTAAATCCCTCACTTTCTCAAAGATGTTCGAAGTTGCAGCCGCTCTTGATTAGCAAACGTGCCCCGTGTAGCACTTTTGAGACATAAGAACCCCGCAAGCAACTCAACCATCATGGTAGTTTTCCCGTTTCTTACCAGCTCAATCGGTTTCAGATACTGAAGGAGATAAGGAAGATCCGTTGTTTCTTAACTGTTGTTTTCCCCTGGACACTCATGGGAGTGCTATAACAACTGTCTTTAGCTATCTAGATATTGAATATCAACAAGAGCGTTCACTAGCAGAGAAAGGCAATTGTGCACACATGAAAGAAGCTTAATCCAAAAAGAAAAAGTACTGCGTCGTTTCATGCAGAGAATCGTTTAGATCCAGCAAGTCTATCACCAGCTATCGCGGCGGCCACTCGAAAAGCAAACGTCAAGCAGAAGCCGTTCATGTTGAATCTCTTCAGCCGTACGTCCTGCCCTTCGCTGTTGCCGTTTGAGCCTGCATAACGGTCATGTTTCAGGCTTGAACGCCATGCTTTACCCGTCAAAACCGAAGCAGGTCGAGGTGGTAGCACTGCCAATTCTCTGGGAGTGTTTGAAGGCCGGAGTTGCGGATAACGAGACTAAAAAGGCCGTTGCAGAGTTTGCGAAAGGACTCGTTGATCTGGTAATTATTCAAAGATTTAGCTAAAAGGTACAGGTTGAGATCGGAGGTGTGCTGTTTTGTTCAAAAATTAGATAAGTGCAATGAGGAACGTCAATGAGGAGAAAAAACCATAGAAAACACCACAAAATTCCCCTTGTGAGGTTGGTCGTGGAATGAACGAGAGACACAGCGCTGCGAGGAGAGGGCAAATGTGAGAGCAGGTCGTCTGCGAGAGAGCGCAGACGCCATATTTGCCACGATTGATAAGGATGGCACCATGGCAGCACACAAGGCAGGGCCTTAGCGCCAGTTGTCTCGCAGTTTGAGTCGCAACAATGTCGCGCCTCCTGGGCTTAGAGACCCCTCTTTCTCACCCTAGAAGGAACTACTTCTCGGCGCCTTCTTATTCCGACCGCCGACTTTAGGTTTTGAGTCACATCACCTCCATCTTGCAGTGCAAAATTGCAATCGCTTGGAAAGATGTTGAAGAGAAAAAGAAGGAAGGTGCTCCACATTGGGAATGTAAGCACGAGGGTAGTCCTAGTGAAATTATAGCTCCAAATGATGTCATTTTTGTGTGCTTCTGATAGTCATCTGCAACCTTGACGCGGCCCACCGAATTAATCGAGTGGGCGTGTGTAACGTCTCCATTTAAGCCAGTCGCGTGCCAGACCGCTTCAGTAGGTTCTACTCGTCTAATTTGCGCTTCTTATACTACACTAGGGCTTTTTGCTTTCCTTTTCTGTCAAAGTTAATTTTTCCATGGTTCACTGATTTGTCTCCGCCTGTTCCTGTTTGTAACGAGAAATACAAACCACCGCGATAACTCGAACAGCACTCTGATTTCCCAGTTTAACATCACTTTCCGTTTTAAATAGTTTTAATCTCACCTTTTCCAGATGGGAGAACGGGCCTTGCTCGACCAGGCCTCGATGGAGCTGGATCCCACACGCCGGAAAGCGTTCGAGTCTTTGATACGGTAGTTGTTGCCCGAGCGAGACCTTCGAGAGCAGAACATTACGGGTGGCACTCCAGGACGAATTTAGATCAACTATCTCATTGAACATGACAGGCACTATCATTATCGATAATGTAGCAACCAAAAAGTACTTTTATCCTCTGTCAATAACAATGGAGACACCAGGCAAAAGCTTATTTTTCATCTCCGGGAATTCAGCGTTTTTCATAGCAAATACGGGCACGCAAACCTTTGTCAATGAACAATTGACTGAGCATGTGATATTGTGAAATATTTATTTTGTGTACAATTATTAAATACAGCATTTACACCCGTTGTGTCCGTGACTTGATACTGCTGTGAAAGACGTACACATGGCCGGTCATTTTCGGCAGTGAACTCAGGTGGAATGCATACATCGCCAGTACGGTCACATACTCGAACACTGTGAATAACTCGTACGCTGAAAAAGGAAGATCTAAACGGCACTCCCCTACTTTGCAGAATCTGAAAAGAAGAAGGAAATCTGAAACGCTGCATGATGGCTTGAAGGTGCTCGAGAGCGCTTGGAACCTTTAGGAGCTTGGGCATACTGAGGTAACGTGGGGGGGGACGTTTAAAAAAGTATGTCTTTCTATACGGCCATGGTACCGAGTAAAGAAGGCGCCAGAGCAACGGAATTCCTGCCCAACCATGGGGTTTGAAGGCAGTTGTTGCGATAGATTGGTCAAGGGGCTGAGAATAAGTAGAGCGCTAAGAGGTGGGGCAGTGAGAAAAAAGGTAAGACAAACCGCAAAATGGGACCCTTACGTTGATTTGCGCATTGGACAAGCATCATCGTGCTGACGCCATCGCAATGATTGTTCTGCTCTGCCCTTTTAACCCTTAGACAACGACTCCTTTAGAATTAGGTCATCGATGTTGCTTTCATTGTGATTCCGCTCTTAGAAACGAGTAATAATCTATAGAAACTTGGTCGACGTAGTTTGGATTGGCCACAGGATTTGATCCAGGGGCCATCGCGGTAGGCTCCCCCTTGTCACCACACCATTTCCGCTCAAGTGAATATTTTTGAAATAGGAACTGACGATTCAATTGCTATTTACAGACAGTCCTTTGATATCGAGAAAGAACAATAAACATTGGTTTTTTGGGAGCTGTGCACACTGGCCACTGACTAGCAGTACGATTTGCTTTACCAACTGCGGGATAACTTTCCTTCACTGACAATTCGTTGTCAGAGTAAAAATTATGAAGTTATTTCTGTGCATAATTCCGCTGTCAAGCGAGCGCTCCTGCCTCAATGGGTTCTAAAAATGTGGTAGTGCCTTTGACTACGAAAGTGATGAGGTACTAGTAGGAGGTACAAAATTGGGTAGACGACTGTAAGTCTATCTGTTCAGTGGAAGTCTGGCATTACCTCAATAACTAGAGGGGCACGGTGGGGCGCTGGCTAAGATGAACAGAGCACACCTAAGCTGAGCGGAGCTCCGCCCACGGCAGGAGGGGCTCCTTAACTCGATTAAACTTAAAATTGTAGGGGAATGGAGGCAAACATCCCCAACTCGACACCGAAATAGCCCGGAGACCGTGAAAATAAAACAAGCTAGGCAGGTGGTGTACATGAAACACAAGACTTCTATAAGCGGCCGTCCTTTGATGGGTGGGGAATCGCAAAAATACTCAACCTGTCTACAAAAAGCAATCTAGCATACATGAGAAATAACGAGAAACGCAAAAAAACGACTGCTCCATGCAGCCAAAAAAGCAAAACACAGGCTGTTTTCATGGTTGGATCAACTTACGATGGTTGATTCTGATGCTAGTAAGCAAATTAGCTCGTAACAATATTAACATCTAACAAAACAGAGTCTACTGTTTCTCTCTTGAGGTACACTTTTTTCCATAAATGCAATGCAAATACACTGGTGTGCAAAATTTAAGCAAGAAGTGGACTAAATAGCATAACTTATCAATAACTGAATGGAATGGATGAAACTGTGAGACCATGACGATAAAGGTCTTGTAGTCGTACAGAAGAAAGTGAAAATCATATATCGCGCAGACTGCTTCAATCTGAAGCCAGAATGTACTGGCCACGCAGAACGAGGGGTTTGGTAAAACAGGATGAGGGGAGTGTACTGACAAAGAAGAAGATACTGTGCAATGTAGTGGTTTCAAGTCCTTGAGACAGCATTAGCATGACTTCATGCGAGGAAGATCACCGGGAAATTGGAAAAACGAAGATGGCAACGGGTGTGGTGAGTTTATTGTTGCTACCAGCATTGGTTTAGGGCGCATGGGGAGCGATATGAATAACAGCCACTGTAGGCCCGTGAAAGAGGGGATGGTGGATCGTGGGCAACCGCAAAAGCTTTGCACGCAAGGATGGGCCCGCGTCAGTCGCAGGCTGCAGTTGCAAAAACATTTATCAGGATTGTAAGGCATGCAGTCCCAGCCTGAGTGGCACAGTGACCACGTAGAGATGGCCTCTCTGCTCAACCGGCAGTACCTGGTGTTCCTTTGACACACTGACGACAGCCCCTTGTGCGCGTACCTCGACACCTTTTTATTTATTAATTTTTTCACAATCATCGGAACTTTTTCAACAATTTCAATAGTGGTGATTGATGCACAGTTTTTCGGACGAGATAATGCATGCAGAAAGAATGCCAGATAAATCGAAAAAAAACCAACCAGAATCGGAAGAAACTGATGCGCGCAACCGCGTCTCACTGTTGTCAATGTATTAAAACCCGCGTCGGCGGAAATATTTGCTAGGTACCGAATCATTGGAAATGATCCGCCCAAGTTGGAAGAACGCGTGCTCTTCTCAGTTTAGAGCAAATTGAGTGTGGGTAGCAGAGTGAATAGCGGTCGAGGAATTCCTCGGCCATCGCTTTCTACTGTGCGAGAGTAAAGCCGATAGTGAATGTACGCGCGGAGAGCACAGATGGCTCGCGGGAGGCGAGAGTGAATAACCGCGCGCGAGAACGTAAAGGGTTGGGCGAAAATCCTCGACGTGCCGTTGAAGAATCCTCAAGCAATTTTCACCCTGGTGGGTAGTGATTCTGGACTTAGTCACATTTGGCGAATAGAACATGTAATGTACCCACGATCATCGAAAGACATGACTGTTTTGATAGTCCATTCGATGCGGTGTGGCGAAGCATAAAGTTGCAGGGGCGTACCGACCTCCCAACTCCTGATTGCGGAATGCTTTCTAGTCGATCTTATTGTGACCATGTACTCCCTTTTATGCGAATCTTTTCAGCGGTGCGTTTGATCCCAATCTCATTAGTATGGAGGACAATGTGCCAGCGCATTGAGCAGCCTCGGTAGAAAACTCTTGGAACGTTAGGATCCCCGGCAATCAGTCGAGCCTCTCCGCTTCCCCCCCCCCCCAATTCCTATGGCACACGTGCGGCATGCATTCAAGGGAGCTATTGTAGAGCACCCTTATGCGTCAATAACCTCCAGCAATTGTCAATCGGGATATTCAAGGGAGGAAAGGCTTCTTCACAAGAACACTTAGATAACATTGCGCCCATTATGGGAGCACATAGCAGAGCATGCTTCGCAGTCCGTGGTATCATGCAAGAACCAGCTCTTCTCTACCAAAGGCTCGCTATGAGTTGGAGTAGTTTTACCCATCAACCGCTTCATTCCATGTCTTCAAAGAAAAGTGTTCTTTCCAATCGTTCCATTGCGTGTTTCTATCAGTAACCCTCTGCCTATGCTTTACCATTTCCTTCTGTGGACCCCTAATCCCATCGACCTACAGTATCTCCCATAACTTTGTTGAAAAAGACGCGGATGACGCGGATCCGCGTCTTTTTCGTCTTTTCGCCATAAATTGATTTCTGATCATTTTTCGACACGAAAAACTATACCATTAGACTCAGCTCGCCGAGTTCTATAAGAATGCCCTGTCAAATTTTAGAAAATTTTATTTTTTTTCAAATTCAAGGTCCTGAGGCAACTCGTTAGCGAGTGTTGCTCGCTATAATTCAGCTTCCACTAAGTATTCAGCAAGCCTTTTCGTTTCTTTTTTCTTCTTGTTTCTTCTTGTAGGTTACCTAGCAATGAGAAATCGTGCGAAAGTTACTGCCGTCCTTAAGTTTTGCACATTAGAGCATATGCGAACTCTGCATGAGCTACGTCCTACGTCCACAAGTTTTGCATGACCACGCTTCTCATCTCACTGCACAAATCTGCTCATACAGGCCACTTTCGAAAGAAGTTTTATGACTAGGTTATAACCAATGGACTTTCCAGTTTCGAAGGCCTGTTATTGCTAGACATTTCGCCGATGTAGCGATGATTAGTATTCTGGAATCGTTCACAGTGACTGTCCCAGCAAGTTGATTTCAAAGCTTGGGAACTTACTGAATGGAACACAGAATCCGTTGTAGAGAATGAAGAGGACGATAATGACTGGGATCGTAAACGTAACACATGCAAGGAACGTCCGCTGTAGTTTTGATCTCCAAACATCCTAAACACCAAACTTCTTGAAATATTCAAAACATGAATAGGTATATCATTGGATATTGCAGAAAGAAAGAAGTGCATTAATATACAGGGGGGGGGGTCAAAAAAAGAGGCACTCTCATTCACATTCAAAACAGAACTAATTACACTTTGCCAAACCAAACCGAATGTGCTCACTTGCATATTCAAGAACACATTCCATTCTTTCAAATAAATTACGTAGGGGCTTTCTACACCGCCGACATCAGAAGGTTTTCCCACGGAAACATGGTTCGCAGTGCGAACTCAACGATGTCGTCGAGAAACCATAGACGATCACAAGGTCTCTTGAACGCCACTCAAAAGCCATGTGCATAGTAAGAGTTGGTGTCCCTGAGAATTCACCGGGTATTCGATTGAAGAAATTATGTAGCAGCTTCAGAATGGCGCGATTATGGTAGGCCTCCTTGAGCTCGACGGCGATGACAGATGACGTCATATTCTGGAAAAGGAGAAAGCAGCGAAGGTGAGCCTGATTCCGCTTGTTGAGGGACATCTAAGGAATAATTCGCCGTATAAATCCCAATAACAGCAGCATCCTTTGCGACGAAAACTTCGATGATATGCGCCATGGGCAATGACTCTTTTTTTGCCCACCCCCCTCCCCCGTATACTCGGAAACTGTAAAAAATGAAAAATGGGTGAATGAATGAATTTCTTTGGCCACGAAAGCATCTCAGACTTGCTCGATGAATACGGAGCAGTGTAATCTTCAACTTTTGCGTATTCAAACATTCCGAAAAGAAGCAAAGATTTGTAGGGGAACAAACCGACTGCGAGCCAGTGAAGGTCCACCTTGTCAATAGGCAAACACAGATGAAATACACGTAAGAAGCGGCAGCGAAGCCACCGAACAATATAACATGAATGTCTGAAAAGCTCAGAATATTTTCAATTCCATTCAAATAATTCAACATCCAAAGTTGCTTTTGCTAACTTTAGCTAGGCTTTATGATGTTGGACTTTCACATCGAGGCCAGTTGTGTGACGAAATCTCCAAAGTGCTTAAAGATCAGCAATGTCACTCGTTCGTGGTTTCTAAAGAATGCACCTCCATTTTCACGTTCGCCAATTACTGAGAGCAGACTGAGAAGGAGCACATCGGCCGCACCACAGATCTTCATCAACGTTCGCGCTACCACAAATCCTCGCGAAGCATCCTCAGTGGAGTATTCCAGCCCTGAAACAGGCCTCTTATACAAGGCTTATGTGATAAAATCCATAAGATGGGTGTTACATTGTTTGAGCAGCACAAGCAACCGAAGCGGAACAGATGATAGAATGAGCGTTTGGAAAATTGTACGTTCCAGTGGCATGTTCATCACCCGCGAGATTGACGGCATATAGACCGTCTGGAAAGCTCTGCAATCATCCCACGGAATGAATTCATTGTCCGTTTGAGGTTGCTATTCTGTATTACCTTGTGCGAACCCCTTCACCCCCAATCTCTCTCGAACTCTATGTTTTACACCAGCAAATGTTCGAAAAGCAAAAACTCACTCCACAGGTCCAACGGTAGCTGAAAAGCTGCGATGGATGCAACGCCGCGCCGAGTATGAACGACAGGATTAAGGCTACTATCGGACAAGCCATACTCGTCATGAAGACGGACCTCATAGAGATTGTCCTCAGTAATTTAGGCTCCCGACTGCGATGGAATTCCACCGGTGTCATTACTGGCGATCAGTCTGAAAAACGGAGAACAAGTGGGGTTTTTAATGTACATATGTCAAAATAAAAATGTGCGCTTAAAAATATACTCGCGAGGAAAAGACCGAGGTATTCCCTGATATAAAAAATCTTACAAGCACTTTTGATATAAAAGGAACCGCCTACAATGCTTCAACAGAACGTTGGTGACACGGCGATTTTTCAGGTGTACGCCGCAGGGACGCGACTTTTTTTATTTCCTGAAATGAGTCCCGCGTTCGGAATGAAGTACAGCAAAACCTGCGCCAAAGGGCTGAGTGATGCAATAGCAGTTGAAAGTGTTTGCCCTGTTGCTTTAATTAAGTGATTAAGTTCATTGCTTTCAACAAGCAGAAGTTGTGTCTGATCTAGGAGTGACAGTGAGCGAAGCAATTTCAAGCACCTCTTGGGATGCAGCACTCACTGTAAAAGTCTCATAGGAACGTTGGAACAAAGGCGCCGAGTCCCACCTAGGGGAAAGTTTTGTTCGCAACCCGTCATCCTTCCGTAGGCCAACAACGCCACGTGTGATGAGGAGTTACGTTCAGTCATCTCTTGGAAAGGTATAATCAGGCAAGGTCAGCTTTCCAATCTTGCCTAATGAAATGAGCATTATATTTTTGTGTGCGTCCAGAGATGCTGAGCTTGAGCCTTCTTTCACTAGCTGCTGGACGATTCGCTGAGCTTAATTATGAATTCGAAAAGAGCAGCGGTAGTGGGCTTGGCTCTCACATGAGTTATTTCATGCCAACGTACGTATCTGAGACATTGAAAGCAACCATCCTCTTCAACTTTCAGAATCGTTAATGTGAACTAAGGAATGCAAAGGGCGGTTGCAAAAGAAAAAACCTAATGACTACGCCTCAAATTTTTCAAAACTGCTCATGTTTTGTCAATTGATATCAACGTGAAAGGTCAGATGAGGAAAACCTCATCGACCAACTGGCCATTTCTAGTAGTCAGCTCAGATTGAATGTCAAGAGCCAGTAATCTCATAGAATAATTTGAAAAGAGAATCAGTGTTGATAGAAAAGCTAAAAGAGGATTGAAGATTTGGAGTAGATGCTAAAAGCCGCAGCTTTCTAGATAAGGCTAATGACGAATTGAAACGAAATGCTTCCAACAACCTTTTTGTCGCGCCGGCAAGGCCAAGCTGGGAACCAGTCGAAGGAACAGACAAAACCCAAAGAACAGAGTGTAACGAACTGAACCCACATGTCAATTGCCATCAATGTGGGCTAAACTTGTGGACGAAGTCGGCTGCCTGAGTAGAAACATCTCATTTCGTGGCGAAATGATGCTCATATATCAATCGACTCCAAGCAATGTTCGCGTATGATTCTTAGCCACACACCGAAAATCGCAGAGCTATCAAAATCTCTATTGAAGGCACAAACAGAACTATTGGGTTGGTGCATAATACCGTAGCGTTTTTCTTTTCGAGCTACAAATCTAGAGAATACAAGTATAACCCAAGAAACACATATATCGTTTGAAAGGGCTTCTTCTGCCCTACAATACTATGTTTGGCATTTTCTTCTATACTGTGAGTGTACTCAGATATGGCGCTTAGAAGTTGGAGAGTCAAGGTGGGCGAAAATCCATATAGAGGAGAAAGCTGCCAAAATAGGAGTTTTTCGGAATCCATCATCGAACCTTACTCCGGTCGTCCCTTAATTTCAAATCATATTCACGTCGTACATATTGAAAACAATGAGGATTCCAGAAATGGGCGTTCCTTTTTTTGGTTTCTAAACCTGGTAATTTCTTGCGAAATGGAACGAAAGTCGTAAATAATGATGAGACGAACATCATTGATCAGTTTTATGCTTAGCTTTGCTTTTGGGTTTTGCTTTGAACGTTTTTGCCAAATGCGAGCGCTACGATATTATGCACCGACCCAATAGCTCCAATGAAGTTCAGGCGGAAAGTTTTCAGAACTTCTCATCGATCATCGAATAACACTGCAGCAAAACAAGCGAACGACTCAACAAGAAAGTCGATAAGTGTCCATTTTCAGAGAATTTAGCTGACCTGCGACCTCCGTTGAAGGCCACATTCCGTCCACCCTCTCAGTCGTCAAATACGCCCGTATGACTACTTGAACTTCGTGTGAATCGCGAGTTTAAAAGCCATGAGCATGGAAATAAGCAGAATACATATTGGCACGCCGATCCAGGGCATTTGTCGAAAGAGAGGAGCTCTTGGCGCCATCAATGGCAGTTAGCAGCATCACAGCACTCCCATATTACATATGCAATTTCTCTCCTTTACCAGTCATTATGAAGGAGCTAGTCATAGTGGGATGCATGCTTCACTGGTCACGAGTCCGTTCAATATCATCGGATATAGTCAATATGAGATAGCACTGAATTACAGTATCATTGGCAGAAAAGCTCAAATCAGTGGTTGCCAGCTCGACTAAACTAGCAAAGCCGACCGCAGATTGTAGGCTTGAATGCCTTTTTAGAACGAAATCATGCGCTTTGAATGGCAATTGCAGATCAAATAAAAAATACTAGAAACATGAGTAGAAAAGTTGCTCCAGATCACTCTTCTTCTCAGAACTAAGACGACCGGGTTACCATACGCATAATTTAGCGCCCAAGAAAGGAGGTTAGCAACTGACAAATTTCTTTTACTAAGCTTGATTTTAATGACTGGTTTATGGACAAGACGGATGGTCTAGCCGGCTCATCGCGAGAAATGTTGTATCACTGAGACAAGAGCTTGGTTGGTTTTCGTTTCAAGCTCTTCTTCAAGGAAACATCCCATCAGCTGCTTTGCTCTATTTCTTCAATTCGTATTCTGCTATGCTGTCCATATCATTTCATCGACCTTGCTGCTGGATGAAATGAAGTGCTCTGCTGACCGTTGTCGGTTCAGTACACACCTTCATGGACTGTGCCAACTGCAGAGGCAGAGAGCTTCCACAGGAAAAGGTAATTGGAACGTAAGCAGGCAACATGCAGGAAATCAACAATCCAGTTTTTCAAACGTCCCTGTTCCTGATTTAAGTCCAAGTATTCGAGCTGACAGGACAAAGAATTTTGTTGTATTAAAGGCAAGAATCAGGATTACATTGATGGGTTGATTCCACTAAAATGTGAAAGTAGTGTTGAGAGGTGGATCGCCAATGGAGAAAAAAGGAAAAAAAATCCTGACACGCACAGGAAATACGAGCATTTTGCTCAAAGCTGCGGAGAAGTTCAAAAGGTCGACAGCGAGATGAGAGATAATGTGAGAGCGGAGAGCGGTAGAGAAGTCCGAGAAGAGAGTGCATAGCAGATCAATGCAAGCGACGCAGACAAGACATCGATCGGTGGGCGGGCCATGTTGTGTTTGGTGTCTGTTAGAAGTTCTTCATGACGCCTAGGGTCCTGGTGATGGGTTTCGATGTAGAAAGGTGGCGCTAACTTGCGCTTGCGAACCCAGCACTTCTAGCTATTGTAAGGGATTCTTAGGTGGGTCTGAGCCCGAACTTTGCCTTTAAATGGTATTCAGACTTAGGTCAGATAAAAGTATCGCAGTGGTAAGTCACGTCCATAGGTGAATTCGGATATAACGAGCCTACATGCAAGTGGATATGGATTATCTTGAGAAGAACACACCAGCAATTCCAATTGTCAGAGGAGAAGCGCTTCCTTACTAATTTTTACTCTTACCGCCACAGTTCTTGACTGATTCTCGTTTCGTTTTTTCAATAAGTTTTGTGGTAACTTCAAGACTTCTGGCAATCCAGTTCTAAATTTTACTACTCGACTATGTCACGTAAAGGATTCCCCTAATATTTCATCCAACATAGAATTTACGAGTTCCAAGGTTCTCACGAAGCATGGTATTACCAAGGGTGTCATTGGACTACTTTTCGTGGACTCGTTTTGGAGAATCTCGGTGATTTGTTGAGGTTGGCAAGCGACATCGAAAGGAATGATGACAAAATTCACACGTATAAAGTAACCAACCGGTTGGACGACATTGGCAGTGAACCGCAGGTTGGAAGTTCTGGCAGATATACATCTTTGACTTGCATTTGATTAATAACTGCTGTTTTGATCCTGCAGTTAGCGTTGCGAGCGTTGCGAAAGTTGAAAAAAATGCTAGGACTAAACTTTTAGATGCACCCTCCGGGAAGAGGCACGCTCACCTGTTCCATAACCGAGCGTAGTAGACAGACGGACAAACTTTATGCTGTGTCCCTTTTGGAAATGCGCGACAAAGGCGCTAGAAGCTCACTCTACCCGTAATTCACTCCTCGTGCGCAAGCCCCGCTTTCCGCCGTCGGTTGCTTCATGACGCTGCTTGAATAGCGCGGGCACAGTCGCGGCAATGTTCCATTGCGGTCAATGTCATTGGCATTGGAACAACTGGAGCTAAGCTCGTAAAACTCTTCCAACACGCTCTTTTTCTATTCCAAGTGTACTGCGGCAAAAATAGAAGGGGTCCTCACCAAGGGGCCCAATCGGGATTGCTTCTTTTCTTTTCCAGATCGCTCTACACTTCTAGCTTCATTAACAAACGCTCTTCCATACCTACTGCATCTTGAGGTTTGCCTTTGAAACGCTCAGGTCTTGCCCATGGCCCAGCATTCTTGCGATAGCGTTCGACGGCGGTCAAAAACAGCTGTTAGCAATCGAATACTATACCAAAAGTGTTCAATTGTGCCCACGGTCATAAGAATTGGATCTGTCAAATCATGCAGTACCTTACTGATTGTTGAGATGAGTTACCGATTAAGACCAAGAAAATATTGCCCCAAAAGCAATGCCGTCCCGTTGCATGAAGATTTCCAAATTATCCAATTGGAAAGAACCTTTAAACTAGTTAGACACAAAGCGATTATTTTCCGAAAAAGTCCAATGCTTTCTCGCTAAAAGAGCACAGAAAAAGTTTAGGATTAATTGATCAGCTCACTAAGGCAAAGCTCTTCCGTAAGAAATGACTATTTTTATATACGAGAGACAATCTCGCTAAAATTGGATTTC